AAATTTATTAGTATCGGAATTAACCGGACATATTTTACAATTATTTTTAGAACGTGCTCATCTTTTAGGTTAATTGACGGTCTACTTCCGATTTATTCCGTTAATATTACTATAAGATAATGAAAAGGTGAATGAAATCACGTGATTGGAGATTTAAAGCTGCTTGAACCATAGTTGTTAAGATATCTTCAATTGAAGTTTTTAAAAAATTTTAAAATATCTATATTAATAAGGAACATGACAAAAATCAGGCAATTTTTTAGGGAGAGAGGGGGGTAAAAAATTTAAAATTATATATAAAGACCTGATTATTATATATATTAAGAGGAGGGAGGGATAAGCCTCTGATAAAAAAAATCAGATGATAAATGACACTGCCCTAATAATAACTATATCAATATTTATACTAAGTATAGCAAAAACAGAAGTCCTGAGGTAAAAACCGGTAAAGTATTCAGAATTGGTTCCTTACCCCCTCTACAAGCCCTTCTAGATATATTTAATCATATATCGAATTCATGCTCTAGATTATGCTAGAGCTAGATCCTGTTAACTTACTCTCCTTACACCTAAATTCGGGCTTCCATCATTAAAGAGTATATAGTCTTTGTTAATGCTCTGGCTATGTTTTTAATCCCAAACAAGATAACAAATCAATTATGCTATCTTGCTTGCCCTTGAAACGAGCAGAGAGCACCGAGGACCGAAATGTCCGAGTGTGCTTCTCTGCGAGCCCATTCAAGCCTAAAATGCATACTATTTTCTATGTTATCCTAGAATTAATTCAAAAAGCGATTCATTACTATCTAGCAAAGGACAAAAAATGCCAAATCTCACCTCGCAGAGGTGAGATTTAGCTATTAGGGGTGAGACTTATCCAATCAGAAGTGAGATTTAGCTATTAGCAAAGGTGAGACTTATCCAATCCGGGGGAAACTTATCTGATCAAAGGTGAGGTTTATCACGAGAAGGTGGGATCTAGCTTCTGAGCGCTCGAAAAAGATATATTCTATTTTAAATAATTTTATCATGAAAGATGGGGGGTAAATATTTTTATTTAAACAAAAGTTTACCCAATATATTAACAGGTGAGACTTAATAATATCATGCCTAGAAGTGATAAAAAAAATCGTACATGCACTTGTTGTGGATATACTTTTACAAGACCAGAAAAACTTCGCAAGCATTATAAAAGCAAAAAAAATCAATGCAATATACCAATTACCCGAACCCAAGTATCCAAACAGATACTACCTCTTACTTCTAAATCTGGTTCAAACTTAGCAACCCAAATCTCTTCCTCACAGAACGAAGTTCAAGAGGGGGTCAAAGACCAAGTGGTTGTTCAAGATCCGGAAGCTGGCCTAGGCCCAGCAACCCAAATCTATAGAGAGGAGCAAACTATTATTCAAGAGGTAAAATATGCTCCAGAAAACCATTTTCGATCAATTTACGAAATAGAAGATGGAGTTATAGAAAAAGAGCCACCTACAAAAAATATAGAATTTTTAGAAAGAAGACCCGATCCTAATAGACAACATCAAAATCTTAATTCTATGACAGTATGGGAAGGTATAGTGCCCTCAAACAAAAATTTTGCATATGCTTTTAACAAACGTTTAGACAATCAGATAAAATATGCAGATGCGCCTTACATGCCCCAATTTATGGCTTCAGCACGAAGCTCAATTACAGATATTCTCAAAAAAGAGCTTCGCAAAAAGGATCAAATAAAATCAGCATTAGTCATACATGCCACATATATAAAATATAAATATAAAGGATTTGGTGACATTACTGATATAACAAACTATGATACAAGTTATCACCACCCGTATCATAGAAGCAACATGTACATTCTTCTTTCAAAAAATGATATAGACCAGCATTTAACACAATCTGTCAGGGAAATCGATGAAAAGATTGAAAGGTACTTAAAAGAAGAGTCCGGCAAAATTCTTTTTCGATTAGAAATGATATTTATTGAGACATATACATACCACCGATCTAATGGAGGTTCTTATATTTCAACACCCAAAAAGCTTTCCAATACAAAGTGCACTATTAATCCTGACAATTCTGATATTATAGATCCAGATACAGGCAAGCTCACAGACAATTGCCTTAAAAGTGCATTAGGTTGTTATTTTGCAGATAAAGCAGGTATTACCGATTATTTAGGAAAATGGATATATAGAGCCAAAAAGCTAAAACCCTATTTAGATATCGTCAAGCTAGATGGGATCCCTATGTCTACCCCAGTTTGTTCCCGTATATTTAATAAGATCGAGGAGATGAATCCAGATATCTCTATCAATATCTGGGAATGGAAAGAAGAAACAGCTACTCCCAAACCCGTAATAGCCAGTAAGAATTATAATAGACAGCATATTATACATCTCATGGCGCTTACAGATATAACTAAGTCTGAAAAAGAAAAGTATGGACAAAAGAATTACTTCCTTTGGATTAAAAATCCAAATAGGCTAATATTCAAAGATACGAAATATCATACTAAAAAGTATCTTTGCAATCGGTGTTTCCAGAGCTGGTCCTCAGAAAAATCTCTAGCATATCACCAAGAGCACTGTTTCGGTTTGGGAGAAGCAACTCAAAGAGTCACTTTACCTAC